ACGCACAGGTAGGCCTATATCATATAACACAGGGTTGACATAACACAGGGATAATATAACAAAAGGATCATGTAACAAAGGGATGATATAACACATTGATGGTATACCTCTATGTGGCAAAACAATAGACAAGGGTGACGTGAAAGATATCAGGAAAAAAAAAGAGCTATATACTAGTGCCACTCACTGTGCAATTACAGCACAGTCAAACCCGGGAAACACTTTTTTTCAAGACACGTAGGCCTAACTGTTTGTGGTTTACACTTGTTATGACGGCTTGCGTTATCACGATGGTGAGAATTAATTGGATAGACACCATTTTAATCTTATTTTAATAAGGACAATACTTCTATTTGACATATGGCTGTTTTTATCGCAGGTTTTGTGACAAAGTTGAAACTTTGAGGATTGATAGGCCTGTTAGCGTGGATAATGCTCATAAGACAGACAAAATCGCTGTAAACAGAACTGGTAGAGGAAAGATAGGCCTACAGGTAGATCTACTGGTATTTCTGTTATCCCCGTATTTTTGTGACATCATGTTTTCCCGCACGCCCGTTAGTCCATGCGTTTGTAATTTCCACTATCTATCCTAGATCAATACATATATAGATTGAGGAGGTTCAAACATTGGTGATTGATAGATCTACATGTACATCACCAGTAATGTGCATGGGTCCTTCGGAATTTTAGTGCGGGGGGTAGGAACTGTCGGACGATTCTTTTATTATTACACATTGTGATTTCTGCGATTTCCCCCTAGACCATTGGGATTAAGAAGTTCAAACTTTAGTGATTGATAGACCATTCAGGCTGCTTATATTCTGTATTTAATTGGGCACATATCGTTTTTTTTATGTCATTACAATACCACCTGAAATAATGGAGTTTCCACGTATAATATAATGTATGTATTCACAATAGATCCCATTTTAGGTATTATGAGCAGTTACACAAAGAACCTATTTGCCTTGTTCGACGTTGTTATTAATTCAGCTGTTTACTACAAAAAGTCAAACTAATCTGCAAGTTTTTATCACTACCGACAAAAAGGTCTATATCCGCCCCTAGTGAACAGAAGAGTAATAAACTTAACCCCGCCAAAAGTAATAAATCACGGAGCACGGTATATACACTGTTAAAACCGCTGTTATTTTAATAATAATAATAATAATAATAATAATAATGAAAAGTTTTTTGCTGTCATAAGCTTCAGCAGGCACAAAATAATTCTTTAACTCTAAAACCAGGAGGCAAAGATATTTATAATCTTATACTGGACACTCGATCACGTACATCTGCTACATGTAGATGTTATGTAGAAACTCCGACTTCATCACAAGGACATCATCGGGGAACTGTCACTATAGGTGACACTGCTGGTACGTTTTAATGCAGTTGTCACGAGTCCAGTGTTAGATTTCATATATTTGCCTTTATGAACATCACAACTGGATGAATCATAACTAAATTTTGATGTAAAACCGGGAGTTACACAGAAGGTTTATTCATTTTGATCTAACGCAAGATGTTTATAAGCAAAATGTGTATGTTATTGGTAGGTATAGGGCCTACTTATAAAGACATCATGCTTTTCGGCACGTCTTCGTTTTAAAACAGACTGATGCGTTTCTTAGACATATATGTTTCATTTAGATCTGATTGCCACAGATCCCCCAGTACTGCTAACGAGGACGAAGCCAGCTCCTCAATTCCACCATTGTGTTATTTGTGCCCATTCATTATTCGACTGAAAAACATCTTTTCTCTGTGCGATAATTACATACGCTTTTTCTTCTGGCGTTGGGGCGTCGACGGGACAACCTGCGGTGGAGTCGGCGTTCCACAATCGTATTCAGAAATAAATTAAAATATGACTTTATAGAGGTCTGTTCATACTGGTTTATATTTAGCGCTTTGCTTATATAGGCCCTACAGTAGGCCTATAGGCCCTATATACGGTCTACTTTTTAGGCCTACGCTACTCTCTCTGCCGCCTTAATGCATATCTTTGGTCCTAATTAAAACGTAATCATAAGAGGACCTTTATTCCGGAAGATTTATTACGGCTGTGGCACACTGTAGGAACTTCAGATCCTTTACTTTCAAGCATGGTGAAAGTAAATGCAATTTTTGCATCATACAGTAGGCCCTACTGGCCCGGGGACCAATAACATGTTGTTCTCCGTCTAGTTGTAATATGTTTGTATAATGTTTAAATTATATAGAAACTAAATGAACAATCCAAAGGTCGGCATGTAGGTTAAATGTGGTTTTCATTGCAGAATACTCAATTGAAAGCATAGCCTATAGTTTTTTCCTTTTTCTTTTATGAAAATAAAGAAACCTTTGTTTTACAATCTGAAGTCGCAGATAGAATAAAGCAAGAATTTGCCACTGATGTGTGCTACAGTCGTCTAGATAGCCTAATCTAAAAGCACAGNTGTAATCTCCTTCTGTTATAACTCCTTGATTGGATAGACACCATTTTAATCTTATTTTTATAAGGACAATACTTCTATTTAACATATTGCTGTTTTTATCGCAGATTTTGTGACAAAGTTGAAACTTTGAGGATTGATAGGCCTGTTAGCGTGGATAATGCCCATAAGACAGACAAAATTGCTGTAGACAGGACCGGTAGAGGAAAGATAGGCCTACAGGTAGATCTACTGGTACATGTATTTCTGTTATCCCCGTACTTTTGTGACATCATGTTTTCCCGCACGTCCGTTAGTCCATGCGTTTGTAATTTCCACTATCTATCCTAGATCAATACATAGACTGAGGAGGTTCAAACATTGGTGATTGATAGACCTACATGTACATCACCAGTAATGTGCATGGGTCCTTCGGAATTTTAGTGCGGGGGTAGGAACTGTCGGACGATTCTTTTATTATTACACATTGTGATTTCTGCGATTTCCCCCTAGACCATTGGGATTAAGAAGTTCAAACTTTGGGGATTGATAGACCATTGAGGCTGCTTATAATAGTCTGTATTTAATTGGGCACATATCGTTTTTTTTATGTCATTACAATGCCACCTGAAATAATGGAGTTTCCACGTATAATATGATGTATGTATTCACAAAAGATCCCATTTTAGGTATTATGAGCAGTTACGCAAAGAACTTATTTGCCTTGTTCGACGTTGTTATTAATTCAGCTGTTTACTACAAAAAGTCAAACTAATCTGCAAGTTTTTATCACTACCGACAAAAAGGTCTATATCCGCCCTTAGTGAACAGAAGAGTAATAAACTTAACCCCGCCAAAAGTAATAAATCACGGAGCACGGTATATACACTGTTAAAACCGCTGTTATTTTAATAATAATAATAATAATGAAAAGTTTTTTGCTGTCATAAGCTTCAGCAGGCACAAAATAATTCTTTAACTCTAAAACCAGGAGGCAAAGATATTTATAATCTTATACTGGACACTCGATCACGTACCTCTGCTACATGTAGATGTTATGCAGAAACTCTGACTTTATCACAAGGACATCATCAGGGAACTGTCACTATAGGTGACACTGCTGGTACGTTTTAATGCAGTTGTCACGAGTCCAGTGTTAGATTTCATATATTGGCCTTTTGAACATCACAACTGGATGAATCATACCTAAATTTTGATGTAAAACCGGGAGTTACACAGAAGGTTTATTCATTTTGATCTAACGCAAGATGTTTATAAGCAAAATGTGTATGTTATTGGTAGGTATAGGGCCTACTTATAAAGACATCATGCTTTTCGGCACGTCTTCGTATTAAAACAGACTGATGCGTTTCTTAGACATATATGTTTCATTTAGATCTGATTGCCACAGATCCCCCAGTAGTGCTAACGAGGACGAAGCCAGCTCCTCAATTCCACCATTGTGTTATTTGTGCCCATTCATTATTCGACTGAAAAACATCTTTTCTCTGTGCGATAATTACATGTACGCTTTTTCTTCTGGCGTTGGGGCGTCGACTGGACAACCTGCGGTGGAGTCGGCGTTCCACAATCGTATTCAGAAATAAATTAAAATATGACTTTATAGAGGTCTGTTCATACTGGTTTATATTTAGCGCTTTGCTTATATAGGCCCTACAGTAGGCCTATAGGCCCTATATACGGTCTACTTTTTAGGCCTACGCTGAACCCTCTCTCTGCCGCCTTAATGCATATCTTTGGTCCTAATTAAAACGTAATCATAAGAGGAAGATTTATTACGGCTGTGGCACACTGTAGGAACTTCAGATCCTTTACTTTCAAGCATGGTGAAAGTAAATGCAATTTTTGCATCATACAGTAGGCCCTACTGGCCCGGGGACCAATAACATGTTGTTCTCCGTCTAGTTGTAATATGTTTGTATAATGTTTAAATTATATAGAAACTAAATGAACAATCCAAAGGTCGGCATGTAGGTTAAATGTGGTTTTCATTGCAGAATACTCAATTGAAAGCATAGTTTTTTCCTTTTTCTTTTATGAAAATAAAGAAACCTTTGTTTTACAATCTGAAGTCGCAGATAGAATAAAGCAAGAATTTGCCACTGATGTGTGCTACAGTCGTCTAGATAGCCTAATCTAAAAGCACATAGCAACATTAAGCCATTAACGTAAATTGTAATTTAAATGAATTGAGACTAAATTAATGCGCAATTCCCGTATTTGTTTCAGGATTTTCGCGGCAAGAGGAGATGAAATGCGCTTTCCCTCCATATCAGTCTTACCCCACTTATGGTCAATATCTCTCAGGCAATGTATTAACCTTGATACAAAACAATTTAGAATTCTATTGATTTTATATAAAAAAAGATAAATGGTAAATTGCTAAAATAGTTCACACGTTTATTTTCTCAAACATACGAAAGTTTATTATAACAATTTTCTCTTCAATTACTCTCTGCAGAGGGGAGTAACTTCATTGCAATACTTGCCCATAACAAACCGCAACAGCCAATGAGCAATTGCTACTAGAGGGGGATCCTCCAATTGACGCAACCCCTCAATAAAACATGGGCCTCCTGCATTCTTGTATTGTGGTGGATCTCACATACAAAGATCGATGTTCGCCATTACGTGATTAAATTTCATGCAGGATTGTAGGCAACAGAGACCACTGGCGGACTTAATTTAAACATCAATTTGAAGGGAACAGTTTCATCTTTAGCCTCTAGAAGTTTCAAGCCAAATCACGGATTTTAAAGGACATTACGAAGGATTTGAAAACACCAGTGCACAGGGCGTCGAAGAAAAAATCGCCAGACAGACGTGGAGTCACGTGGTATGATGAATAAGCCAAATTTTATTGTTTCGATCGCTGATAATATGAGGCTCTGTCAAGAGATCTAAGTAAATATGGTAAATTGTAACACGAAGAGATATAAATCTACAATTTTTATTGTGCACAATTTTCATTAAGAGCTTTGAATCAAGCCCCTCCTGAAATAGCATCTTACGCACTAACGCAGTCACGTGTTTCATAAAAGGTGACCTCGGAAATCCGCATTTTTGGCAGCAGGTGACTGAACTGATACGATCGTGACATAAGAAAAATTAATGTAGTCACTGTTTAATCTTCTGATCCCTTCACAGGGCTTGGCACCCATGAGGGGCCCTCAATGTCCGGCCCCCTGCCTCTAAGGCTGTGGTGCATGGCGACGATGGCGCCTGCTTTGACTGCGGAGGCTGCCACCCAAGCCCGTGTAAAGCTCTCTCCCAGTTCACCTAACGGTGATACATCGTCCATCGTCAACGGCAGAGACCATATTGCCAATCCCGGCGATACAGACCTGCTAACTCGACGATCGCCAGTTGATCAAACTGCAAACAAGCCTCAGATAACTCTAGCATCACACATTCACAAAAATCTTGATACAAGAACTCTGAACCTTGCTCATCAGAGCAGAATAATCAAACTTGCCCTGGGAACGAATCGAAACAACAATCACCACAATCACTATTTATCTAGTGGATTGTCTGAAGGGAAAGTGTCCACAAACGGTGATATTGCTATGGAAAATGGTGACAAAATGACTCATTCAAAGATTATCAAGACAATTTCAGTTACAGCTGCCAATGGGAAAAATGGCTTGCAGAGAGCCACCAATGGAAATACCAAAACTATTACCAGTGTAACACTACAGAACTCCAAAGTGCCTAAAAGTACAAATTTGAACTCGGACTCCAATACACAGAATGCTAATAATGTAAACAACAATGCTGCCCAGTCTTCTACGGATGATGGGTCAGATCAGCCAGTGACCAATGTTGCTGGGAGCAGTAGAGAGTCACAGGCGACAACAAACAACTCTGGATCCTCTCGTCCAGAAAATAACAATGACAGTTCGCACAGACAACAACATCTTGAGAAACGTGCCACACGTTTGTTGAAACGCCTAAGGCGCTTGCAGGCTCAGCAAGCAGTCACACACACGCGGCAACAGATGATGGGGTTTGTAACCACACAGCATCGTAATCTACAGTCCATAGCGAACAGCAACAGGCTACCAGACCCTAATCTGTTACCTACCACTGATCTCAAAACTGAACTTCTTCAGAGTGAGGATGTAAAAAATTTGTCCACTGCATCGTTAGTAAATCTGGTTCGTAGACTGCAGGCGTCGCAGATAACACTGCGCCAGCGCCTCTCAAGCAACAACACAGACTCTCGTAGTGTGTTAACGTTGGACGAAGAACTTTGTGATGATATAGATAGAACGGCTGGGAATTTATCAATGAATTTACGACATGCAGAATCTGCAATCGACTCTGATGCCACAGAGAGCAGTTCTGGAGGTGAAAGTTGTGATGAAATGGACTGGGAAGAGTGTGAACCAACAAAACATCAACTCCCACTGTAAGTATACCAAATAGAGAAATTATATTTTGGTTTGATTTTGTGAATGGTCCTCATGTTTATCTTTTAATACATAAATTACACTTAAAAGGAGGAAGAGGGAATCATAATTGTATCTGTGGATTTTCTCTTATCAGATACTTTAAAAGAGAATATAAAGCTTTTAGCAGTGTGGGGTAGTCTTCAGCAGCAATTTTTAACCTAGACTTTTTTGTCAGAAAAAGTGTGTGGATGGTCTTTCTCCCCCCCCCCCCCTTGTTGTTTACATGTACAGTACCAGCCAGCGGCTCCACACCAAATTCCCTGACAGTTTTTATGGTTTCATAATAAGCCATGACATTTGGCTATCGTGACAATTACTGCAGTTATATGTACATATAGGTCATTAATAAACTAGTAACTACATAACCACAATGCATACTGTAATGTGTTCAAAAATGTAGATGAGAATTGGTAACAGTGTATTGTGTATCCATAGTAAAAAAATAAATAGGTCAAGAAAGGTGAATACCATCAGTAAATGTGAGTGCATTCAACACACCGTAGAAAAAAAAATGCATGCGTAAAGCAATTATCCCCAGCCAAGAGAATTTATATGTGCCAGATTGAACTTTAACCCATTTCAATCTGTGGCATCTTCAAGCTTTGTAACTGTTGTTGAAAATGAATACTCTCTTATAGGTTTATGTGCCCAAGGTCATGGTGAGAGAAATCCGCATATTTAACGTGTTATGACCCATATTGAATTGATCTGTTAAATTATTTATTTCATTGAATATATTAGCTTTGTTCTCCACATTGTAGGAATATATATTTTGTTCTGCATATACTATTAACTTGCATTGATCAAGGATTATTGACTACATTTTTTCCTATAGAAGGTCAGGATTTCAAACGACTCCCCCCCCCCCCCCACACACACACACACACACACACTTTCTAGCCCATCCTCAATATGACAACTTGCATTACAGTCTCGAGTATTTATATTTTCAACATTGTAGCATATGCAGTTGAAATAACAATCATGTAAGAGAAAAGGAAAGGATTCTAAAAATAAGTTTGATTGAAATGCAGCAATGGCAATGTCTTAGCTGCTTATATCACATCTGCTAGACGATGTATATGCAACATTGGTTTATGCAAAGTCAGCATCAATATTCTGCAACCAAATTTACCAAACACGACACACCGCATGCATGCAACATGGTATGCATTATTGACCTAAAATGTCAGTTGGAATATGCAGTAGTTCAATGTATTGACTATGTACCATGAGGCTTCAGGTACAGACAGCCGTTATATGTGTGCCTGTAGGAAGCTCCCATCCGCCAGGTTCTAGGCTATCTCTGATCATTGATTGGGGACGGAGGCAATCAGTGACATACTCTTGATAGTAGAACCTAAGGACTGTTTACACTGGGTCAACCGATGCGACTCTGGTTTGATCCAAGGCCGCACAAGCCCTTTGTGAAGTCAGTCAAAGGGCAAGGTGATGCCATAGTCCAAATCATAGACATTGTCTGTGGATTAAATATATAATAGAGCTAGAAACTAAATTGCTGTGGTACTTTTTTCCACTGTTGCGATCCAAATTTAGTGCTAGTATAAACATGGCTGTTAATCTATGGTTTGGCACTAGTGAAACATTGCTGATTCTGTTGCAAATAAATGTGTGAATGTTTGAGCAAAGATTGTTCTCGAAACACATTGTGCTGTGATGTAAGGTAATGGGAATGAAAACCACTGGTGATTAGAAATAGTTTTTCTGTGAGAAGCAAGGTGAAGGTGCAGCTGCACCAGGAATTTTTTTTTTTTTTTTCTTTTTGAAAGTAAATGATGATGGCTCATGGGATAGACAGTTTTAACATTGCAGCTACTAGTGGCAACTAGACGTGGAGCAGTTTGAATTTTATATATATATATAATCTTTATTGAGCACTAAAATGCATACATATTACATTTTACAGGCTCTCTACACTAGTCATAACAACTTAGCAACAAATTATACAGATCTATACAATACTTATGGAATGATTACTGGGAAGCAGCACAGAATAAAACGACTATTGCTATTGATGGGTGTGTCGTTTTTTCAAACTTTCATGGACACTGTTGTTCTGCCATTTTAAGAAAACCCCACAGTTCATATCAGCCTGAAATGTGTGACATCTACAAATCACGTTTTCCTAATTGCATCTCTCCATAAGGTGTGACACGAAGGAAAATTAAGCAGGAAGTTAATGAGTGTTTGGCATGTAATTTGTGACCTATTATGACGTAAAAGATGGGTGTTTTAATTTTAATACTTATGGAAATGTTCAGCCTCTTATAACTTGTGCAAAGTCTGATAGAATATCAGGTTCTTTAGACAATCTTTTCATTGGAGGTCTTCAACTCTTCTAGTTAAAAAAGGTAAATTATTAATAATCTATTTTTTCATTACATGCATTTGGGAGGGTTTTCCTGTTAATCCTTTTAATCCCTCCTACAAGCAGCACTGTAATTATGCAGACCAACCTGGTAGTGATGAATGGACACTGTTGTTCTGCCCTTGGCACTTTCACCTTGGGCCTTTTAACCCTTTAAACACAGAGGTGGATATTTTCACAACATGTGTTAACTCTTTATAGAACAGCTGCTTTCGTAGATCTATCTATAATATGACTGCAGAATACTATCCCCACTACCATATGTGTAATGTAAACCTACGAAAAATGAGGAGTTTTACACATCAGTTGATCTGTCTAGAAGTCTGTAGTAAAGCTTAGATTAGGGGAAATGTCTGAGCACAGCATTGACTATGAGCGAGACCAGACATGTATATGATATAGAGGTTGAGTCATACTCAGCTGTGATGAAAAGTGGAACAATGGATGTTGATTGATTGAAAAGGAAAAGCCCTGCAAGGAATGGATGTGTTTTATCTCCTAGGTAGTATTATTTGCACTGCAAGGAAGAGGGGAGGGGGGGGGGGGAGGATGTCAGCTTGCTCCATCTCATGATACCGAGATGAGTAAATATGTAAATATCTAAGGTTGTTGGTTTAAGGTGTGATTAGACTGGTTTGTGTTTGCTCACATTCAACCATATCCGTAGGGACAGGAAATCTCAAAGGTTTTAGTTTAATATTCATTTCCTAGTACAGTAACAATAATTATTTTGGGCAAAGCTGAATAAAATTTGGTCTTGAACTTAAAGACCAGTTTTTAGTTTAAGTTCTGTGAAACTGGCTCCTATTCTATCAACCAAGCTTACTTTACGGTCTAGTCATCTAATCTGCATATCGCTGTCGGCACAGGTTGTGTTCTTACCGTTCATAAAGGGTATGAAGTACTTTAAGGCATAAAGTGAGTATTAGACATTAAGTGTAGCAGTGATAAGTTTTCCAGGAAATTTACACAACAAAATTTTCCCAGAATCAGGTACATGCTCTAGCCAGAGCTGTTGGGAAAATAATAGTGTATTGCCCATTTGTTTGCCTTAAAGAGAAACCGAAACAGGAAGAATTGATAAGAAATATTATAAATGTATTCCTGATTTTGTACATATTAGTGTCAGAAACAAAAGAAATTCATATTTTTCTTTTTTTCCTTGATTGAAAATGTTTCGTTATATATACATCTATGTGTATGGGCCCATGGTGCTTGGTCACCAATATGCCAGGCTGAAATGCAGAAAATTTTAAGCTATGAATTTGCACTTGATCCCAGTGAACACCTTTGTTTTTCCTTGCAAATTGAGTAGTTGACTTAGGGGGGGGGAGGGGGGGGTTGACCTGATGCCTCATTAAAGAACGACATAGAGCACATTCAGGACGAATGATCTGCAGACTGACTGATTCAACAACTAAATATGGCCGCCTCTACTTAAAAAATGATGCTGCTAATTCCCTGATGATCTCCCCGCCTCCACACGTGCCATTGTTGCAGGGGCCTACCAATTAAACTTCCGAACAGTTTTATGGTCCGTTTGAAAACAGGGAGCTCATCAGGGAATCAGGGGCGTCGCTTTTTATGTGGGATCGGCCATATTTAGCTGGCGGGTCAATTAGTCTGAGGATCATCTGTTCTGAACGTGTTCATACTGGGTACAGAAACATTGCATGGATAATCAAGTGATTGTGGTTGGGCACATTTTTGGTTTGTCATGTCTGGGAAGTTTTTCCTGGTGAGGAAACATTGACTACAGCACGTTGCATATGTAGATAGATGTTTTATATAACATCAGCCATCCCTGTGAATAAAAACAGACAGTTGAGCAAAATAAAAACATGCTTTGACATACTTTTTTATGAGGAGTAGAGAGATGTTGTCCTGAAATAATTTATAAGTTTAGATGATTAACCATTTAGTTGCGTCATTTAGACATAAATAATTTTTTGTCGCTTTCAAGAAATCAATTTGGTCTTTGAGGTCTAAGAGTGCTAGGTTTTGCGTCAATGTTACGTTATGGGCTTTGAATAATGGAGGTCATTCACTGTGAAGAGAGGGATGCACCAGTAAAGATCTTGAATTAGAATTTCCCTTCTGCACTTCAGATAAATGTTAGCTGATGTCAGATGCTGTCTAAGGTGCTTGATGTAGACTGTTCAATATGTCATCTCTCTTCACTGCTAGCCAGTCAATATTCATGTGTTCTGATTGTTTAAAATACAGCTTGTTAAGCAAGCTCTGAGAGCCTGGACCTCCACAGGGGCGGATTTAGGCCGTCTTCTGGGTCTTCCAGAAGACGGTCAGATTTTCAAGTTTACATTGACGGGTATCGATTTTTTCTGTCGGAAGACGGTCAAAAATGGAGGACGGGTCAACAAAGTTACTTTGGAAGACCATCAGAAAATATCTCTGAATCTGCCCCTGCTCCAGTCACCTGACAAAAAAAAATGTAGCACCTTTTAATCCAATCCTCTGAGCTCTCAAGGTTTTAATTAAAATGGTATTTAGAGTTGAATTGGTCAAGTAAGCTTGTTTATTAAGAATAACTTGATTATGCGACCATTT